GGGTGACGCAGAACTCGGCTTTACTCCAGGGCCCGGTGTGCTTGGCAAAGAGACCTCTAACCGGGAAAACACTGCCTCCCTCCTTGCCGGGCCTTGCCCCTCGGGGACAGGGCTGCCCAAGGCACGGCTGTGACGCGTGTGGGGAACAAGGGAATTTAGAATGAAGTAGTGAGGAGAGTCAGCAGGGAGCCGCTCCGCGTTCCCGGAGTGCGCCGGGACGGGTGGGCAGACTGTTCACACCCGCCGTCGCCTTTCTATTTCTGACAGTCAACCTGCCCCGGGAAGATCCTTGCAGATCTGCTCCTCTCTGGCACGCTGAACTCGAGGCAACACTTGGGCCGTGTCTCCTGCAGGGAGACAGGAGCCCGGGAGAACCCAGCACTCCGACTGGGAGGATCCCATAGCCCCGGGGCACCCGAGGAAAGCCACGTGCAAAATCACACCTCTTAACACCATGGATCTGGTGGGTTTTCAAACATGAGACCTTCTGAATTACGCCACTGTCCTCAGGCCCACGCAGATGCCCAGACCCCACTGCCCTGGGGCCTCAGGCATCCTACCGGGCGGGGAGGTGCCATAAGCGCCTCACCTCATTTCCTGGGCCACAGGCAGCTCCCCCAGTGGCCAGATGCCCAGTACCTTTCTCTGATTCCAGCCCTGGCATCTGCTCAAGGCCTGACATCTTGTTAGCAGGGGCAGCCTTGTTCCACAGTGCACAGTATGCTTGCTCCAACCCGAACAAGCTTCTGAAGACATGGCCAAGCCACACAGCCCTATGGGAAGAGTGATGGGATGCACTCAGGGATGAGAGGCATGAGTGGAGAGGCCCCTTGCTTGCAGGAGTCTGACCAGGGTGCATAGTCTCAGGAAGGCCCTCATGTACACCAGAAGAAATGCACACAGATGACGGGCCACACGGGGGAGTTTTTACCTTGGACTTGTCATCTGAGGGCATGCAGAGAATGCCAGAGCCAGAAGTGCCTGGAGAAGCCAGCATTGCCTGGCCTCCTGGGTCAACTCAGAGGAAGGGGGTGGACAGAGTCTCGAGGCCACACTGTGGGCATCTGGCTTCCCTTCTGGGCTGTCGATGGGCATCCTCCACCCCAGCATAGGGTGGGCATCCTCCACTCTCACGAGCCCCCATGATCAGAGTGCCCATTCCCGGGGCCTCGGGCATGCTCGCCACTCTGTCATAACTCAAACCACCAACTGACTTACCAGCATGTTCAGACCAAATCCACATGGTCATACCTTCTGACCACAGTCCAGGTCTGAGACATCGAGCAGAAAAGATGGCAATGTTGCAACATTCCTGCTGCAGGCCAACCACCCTCTGCCGGAGCTTAGGATGTGAGGGGGACGTGGCCAGGCAGCAAGGGACCCTAACTCTAACCCTACCCCCAACCTTGACAGACTGCATCCCCTAGGAACGTCTCCCGAGCCCCCATGGCTGTGCCCTGGGCAGAAAGCTAGGGAGCGGCTCACATCCATGCGGCAGTGCCAGAGAAGATCTGGGCCTAACCAGGGTTTTGGGGCCTACTGAAGCTACAACAGCTTCTAAAATAAAAGAAACAAAAACAAAACTAGATTCTGTCATTGAGTCTCTATAATTTGGAAGAATGAGTTTATTTTAGGACCTGGACAATGTGTTGAGCATCCACCACAGCTCGGATGCACAGCTGAGTCTGCATGTGTTCATGACCATCATCTGGTGTGTCCAGGCAGTGCAGGAGGTCAGCTGGAGCTCCTGAGAGCCAACAACACATGTCAGATGTTTGCGCTTGTGGCTGGAGAAGGGCCACCTCACTGAGGACTCTGGGCTTAACTGTGTATATATTTATAGCCTTTTATGTCCTAAAAATGGCTTAAGATGGCTTCCAATAATAGATTAAATTTAACACAATAATAACATAAAAATGAGCAGATGAGGTCATCAGAGGGAAGAAGGAAAGACTGTGCTGGTCCAGGAAACAAAGGCACACACAGAGCTGCCCATCAGTGCGCAGGGCAGGCCTGATGGGCAGAGAGCACATTCTCTCCCATGGCCTCCTGTCTGATGTGGCTCGTCCCTCCATAACATGGATCAGCCCCCTAGCCCCACCCCTTGTAACAGAGGAGAGCTGTCTGGAGAGAGGCGCACGGTGTGATCCTCTTGGGCAGTCGTCTGACACCCAGGCTCAGTCCAGGCAGGCCACTCTAGGGAGCAGTGGGAACAGCACTGTTGGCCACTGTAACCTCATCTGGAAACCCAGCAGCCTAGTGCAGATGAAAGCAGAGGTCTCTGATGGATGCCCGGCTGGAGAGCTGGGTCCTCCCTGTTTGGGATGCTCCCCCCAACCTCCTACCCATCTCCCCAAGCAATGCCAACTGGAGACCCTCCCTGATGCCCCTCGAGGGCTGTGATGCATGCTTTGTAGGTGCTGCCCTGTGAGCATCAGATTTCCCACAACAACCACTGAGGTGAGCATTATTTTTGCATCCCGTTAATAGGTGTGCAAGCTGAGGCCAAGCTTTCACAGGTGGGAAAAGACAGAGCAGGACCCCATATCCAGGGATGTCCCTGTCTCTGTTAGGACAGAATAGCAAGCACGCCCGAGGCCCCGGGAATAGGAGCTCTGATCATGGGGGCCTGTGAGAGTGGAAGATGCCCGCCCTATGCTGGGGTGGGGGGCGGCCCCCAAGCTGCTCTGCCCGAAGCGTTAGGGGTACAGGTGGTTAACTGCCATCACCACAACTGAGTATATAGTCACCGGCAGCTTCCAGGTAGTTGTAGAATTTATCCACTAGGAAGAGATCGGTAACCCATAGGTGGTTCTACGGAAGGCATGACAATCAGCCCAAGCTCAAACCCAGAACAGGATGACACTAAATTGACCCCAATAAGAAGACACATGGTTGGGCTGCCAGAGCCTCCGAAAGATACTTACATCCAAAACTTGAAACAGCCTAACGGATGAGTAGGGGCTGGTCATTTGCTTATGGAAATATGTATATTTTTATGAAAGGTATGGTTGGGGAGCCTTTGGAAACACGTCTTCCCAGAGCCTGTTTAATATAACCCAATCACAACATCACATTTCCCGGCGACCTTCAGTACAAAAAATAAGCCATAGTGGGAAAGTACTGCCCAGGCCTGGTCAGCACTCAGAGACCACAAGGGCTTCAGCAGCTCCAGCGGGCGCCCCACCCACAGGACCTTGCTGGGCTCTCTTCCTCTGGGAGCAAAGGCTTCTTTCTGACATCAATTTGTCCAATTGTTTCATATGAGTGGTCTCCAGCTATAATGGAAAATAAGGACTGTGCCATGTGATATAAAAACAAGGCAAGAGAAAGAAAGCATATGGCAGAGACAAGCACACAGAATTTTCAAAAAGCCTAATATAGCCGGAACTCAACACCAAAATTTGCGAGTCCAAGAACGGCGCTTGAGTCCATGACGCAATGGACACAGGGACCTGCAAATCCACCAGCGTCTGACCCACAGCTTCCTTCTATGATGCTATCACCACATCTGCCCCCAAGAGTGCCAGGAGCCTGATCAAGGGAGCATCGGGATTGTTGGCAGGCCCCTCCCACCAGTGGTCCCCAGGTGTGTGCCCCCCATGCACTCTTCTGTCATTTGTGTATGTATCTATGTCCCCACAACCGGGACCCGGCCAAGCAGGACAGCCCACAAGAGCCAGCATGTAGCATGTACACATCTGTCCTTAAATGTTCAATAAATACATCAGGAGAATTGAAGTGAAACCATCTTGGAAGTATCAGATCTACTAAGGGAATTGAGCAGAAACGACGGACAATTCTCTCTAATGAAACCACCACTACACAGGAGAAGGAGCACAGTCACATGATGCCTGTATCCCCAGACACGGGGCACAGCGCTCCGCCCACCACCGCCACCCTGCACCTGCCACTTGATGCGTAGGACCATCCGGCTACATAAACCTTCCCACTTTTCTTTGGAATGCTCTTGGTTCAGAATACCATTCCCTTGCCTTGGAAACTTCTGTTAACCATTTTGTTCAAACTGATTTAGACGGATTCTCCCCTTAGTGCAGATTATAAAGCTGATGCGTTCCCACCATGTGTGCCTGGAGTGGCTTCAGAGGGAAGAGAAATATCGTTTCTTTTGAACACAGATTTCTTCAGTGAGGAAGACATATCAGTGCAGTGTTTACCACAATTAAAGTGTGTACACTTAGCAGCTAATTACTACAAATAATTGCTCTCTAAAGTTCGATCATTAGACTTTGGCTGGCTAACCCAAAGACATACATAGACTGATTTGAATGCCATAAGGATGAGGCATTTTCTGAGGTCACCATTTAGACCAAATAAGTCTACAAATGCCAAAGCAGGCTAAGCTCATGGCTCACAGAATTGAGCTATTTCATGACCCCCTCCTGGCTTTCCAGTCCTCTTCTTCCAAGTGACCTGAAAATGGCATTTTTCTAAAGTTATAAGCTCTAAAAGGCTATAATTTTATTTAAAAACAATGCTTAACTACAGAACTGGCCCTCAAGGAGTTTGGAATCTAGTTGATGATGGAGGATAAATTCACACCTGCTCAAAATCACTGACCTCTTAAAGAATTTATTGCTTCCTAGATTACTACCACCATGAATATTTCTGCCTGCAATCACTTATGATTGCAATCATGTATTTTATTCTCTGTGTATACAGTTGCAAATTCTCTCCTGACACCTTCATTTTCTCTTTAAAAAGAAATAACACAGTTTAGTGCATTTGAAAATATCAATCTGGTATTAGAGCTTCACATATAAAGAAACAATCATAAGCACTGCACGTGTCTGTAGCTTCATTATAAAGAGAGCTCGGAAGCAAGGAGCATCTCCAAAGTTCTTGTGTCAGAGACGCACGTCACAGACGTGGATGAACAGGTGGAAATTCTGAATACACTGGAAATTTCCAGGCTACTAACCCTGAAATCATTTCTTTCCAAAGTAAAGTCACAGGAGTCCATGTTCAGGAGGGCTTACCTGGTAATCTGTGTTCTTGTACTGAAGTCAAGAGACCTCATTGAGCGGAGAACTTCAATGCACCCCAAGTACTGCAAGGGGAAAAAAACGCAAATCATGAGCCCAGGGGACCGAAATGAACAGACAATTCCTAACTGCATCAAGGGTGAACCTGGAAGCCACACATGTTTCTTAAATCACATTTTAACTTTACATACATCATGAAGCTTTGTTTTCTTTCTATAAAGCAATAACTCACACCTGTGAGAAAGTATTCCCCAGTGTCTATGCTGGCACTAGACTTGACTCTTCTGAGATCCATGAGTATTTGCATTTTATTTAATAGTACATTTTCAAAGACTTTTGTTGAGGTATAACATATCCCACAAAAGGCAGAAATCTTAAGGGCAAAAAAAAAAAAAGAAATCTTAAGGGCATAATTCAAGTATTACTTAAACACATACCTGTGTGTAACCACCACACAGACCCCAACATCGTATTTCTAGTCCTTTACAAGGGTCTAGAAGTTTATAATTTCTAAAGAAAGAATTAAAACACTATAATACCAACATTTTGAACAATATTAAACTTCATTACTTAATAAATATATTTTGGATTCTGTCAACAAACTCTATATACATTACCCTCATAGTTGCTTTATTTTGGTTTACCAGAAAGCCCTCTTCTGCATTATGTAACACAAACTTTCAGAAGTTTCAATTTACACATCTAAATTTGTAGCTAAATTTTTAATCAGTTTCACACATGTAAGTGTGTGTGCGTATGTAAATATATGGACATAACGAAAGCTGTAGATAAACAACTAAAATAGTAGAGATACAATATTTGTGTTCCAAAGCCCTTAGGAGTTTGAAGGACAGATGTTTTATACAAATGCCTTTAAATTTAGACTTTGCAGGAAGAGACCTCATGCTGTAGTACAGAAAAGACTGCATTTGAATTATTCAGAAAACCTGAATTGGAGCCTGACTCTGTCATATTTTGTTATGTAACTTTAAGCAAAACTTTAAAATTCTCTGAACCTAAGCCTCTATACCCATAAAATGTGACTATTGCTCCAACTAACGTGCAGTTATGTGATACCAACACCACCGCCACATCTCACAGTTCTTGAAATACCACCACCACCCCAGTCATAGAGTTACGATGAACAACATCACAGAGGTACACAAATCAGATGACCCCCAACACTGCAGAGTCTCATGATTACAATGACCAACGTCATAGACTTATGTGTATATCAGGATGAGCACCGCAGGACTCCTAGTACCACCAAAGTTACAGAGTTACACGAATACCACATCCACCATCCCAGAGCTCCGTGAGTACCACAATGATGCCACAAGTTATATGAGAAGTAAGAACAACAGTGCAGAGTGTGGGAGCACCACCACTGCTATTACAGTTGTGTGGATGCCATCACCACCGTGGCAGGGGTATATGAATACAACAACCACTGTCACTCAGATATGTGAGGACCACAACCCACTTAGCAGAGTTATGGGATTGCCACATCCATTACTGTCACAGCATGGGGACAACACAACAATGTCCTGAGCTATGTGAGTACCCCCCCAGCAATGTTACAGAGTGGAATAATTAGTATGACCCAAGTGGCAGAATGGTGTCAACACCAACACCACTACCTTTCAAAGGTATGTGAATACATCACCCCTGCCACTGCATTGATGCAATTTCACATCCGCAACTGCAGACTTATGGGAGTACCCCATGACCACCATCACAGACATGTGATTATGACGAGAACCGCTACAGACACCTGAATATTAATGCCCACCACCATCAAAGAGCTATTGAATACCACAACCAAAGTTATATTATGTGAATACAACCATCACCATCACAGAGAAATGGGAATACTATGAACATTGTCACCATTATGTGAACACCATCTGCAACACTGCAGCGATATTTAAGCACCATGACGACAACTATCGCAGAATTATCTGGATGCCGCATCCAGTCTCACAGTTGAGTGCTACCATGACTAAAGTTGCAGAACTATGTGAATACCAAATCCACCAACATTGCAGAGCTACATAAATGCCATGATGGTCATCACAGAGTTTTATGGATAACACGCATGGCTGTACATAAATATATGTATCCCCACACCACCACTGCAGTTATATAATATAGGTATCATGACCACTGTAGAATTATGTGACTACCACCAACACCATAAATACACCCACAAGCATCACTGCACTTATTTGAACACACCAGCAATAACATCTCAGATTTATGGTAAAATGATCAAAGTAATTGAAGAAGTCTGTGTATATTGTCACTGACATCAGAATTATGTGACTACAACCAATAGGCTCACAGTTATGTGGGTACCATGACCACCAACACAGGGTTATGTGGAGGCCACACCAGCCCTGAAAATTTGTACGAATACCATGACCACCATTTCTGGGTTATGGGAAGACTATTCACTACTGCTGTGCGGAGTTATCTGAATACCACAACCACCATGGCAGATCTAGCAGAATACCACCACCATGGCCATCACAGAGACACACGAACACCACAACCATCACCACAGAGCTATGCAAATACTGTCACCACCACTGTCACAGAGCCTTGTGAATATCATGACCATGAACCAGGAGAGTTATGTGACTCTCCTGACCAAAGTCACAGATTTACATGAATCCCACCACCTTGCAATGACGCATTAATTCCAACACCACCATCATCATAGAGTTGTGTAGACACCATGAGCAGATCACAGGGTTGTCCGAATTATACCATCACCACTGTCACAAGATACATGACTAGCACCATCAATTTCCCTCTGTTATTCCACTGCGGTGACAAACAAATATTGCAGGGTGGTAGGAACACCAGGTTGAGCTTCACAGACCATGTGAACACAACTTCCACCAACATTGCAGGGTCATGTGAATACAAGACCACTGTCACATAGTTATTTGACTACCACCTCCACCATCATCATGGTGGTATGTAAACACCATGACCAACCTCAAAGAGTCACGGGAACAACACCAGCAATAATGTCACGGAAGTACAACTACCACAGCTATAGATTATGTGCACACAAGCACCAGCACCATCACAGGGCTCTGTGGATACCATGACCATAGAGTATGTGAACAGACAGCCAACGATGCAATTATGGGAACACTACCACCAACACGACCACAGAGTTGTGTGACTACCGTGACCAACACCCCAGTGACATTTGAATTTCATCATCACCACACCATTGCAGGTATGGAATATCATGACCACCACAGCAGGCTTATACAACTACCATAACAAACTTCACAGTGATGTGGATAGTACCACCACAGTAGGAGAATTATGTGAACACCACCGTCGCCACGGTTGTGGAGTTATGTGGAATACTGCCGCTGCACTACATGATTATGTCAACACCACGGCAAATGGGCATATCTCCACCACCACCACAGTTGTGTGGAAACCACAATGTCATAGAAGTATATGAACACCACCAACATCACACACAGCTACATATGCACCACAACCAACACTACGGAATTCTGTGAGCACCGTGACCAGCACACTTACATAACTACCCCCACCACCTCTGCAGTTGTGTGTAAATAACTTCTCAGAGTTCTGTAGGTACCACCAGCAGCAGCAGCTGTGTCATTACCCCCACCGCTCTCAGAGTTATGGGATTACAGCCACCACTGCTGCCCCAGAGTTACACGAAGACCACAACGAACTCCAAGGAGTTGTACAATTACCACCACTGTCACACGTAAGTGCAAGGTGAGTGTGATGTCACAGACTTGATCATGCCCCAAGGTCTGCAGCAATTTGCCCTCTTACTATCAACGTGTAAGCAAGCCTATGTCTATCCTTTAACACTGTATAGCATTGATCTCTGAATCTTTGACTGTCATGGGCAAAAGTACTTCATTTTCTTTTTAATTTGCATTTCCCTGATATCTATAAGGATATGTGATTTTTCTCGCATGGGTGTTGGCCATTTTCGCTCTTTTTTCTTTTAGCTAACTGCTGTTATCTTTGGCCTAGTTTCTTATTATATTCCTTATCTTCTTATTGTAGATTAATGGGATGATAATCTCCTGTTCAATCATGTTTCTTTTGATGGTTTCTACATTTTACCTGACACAGTTGTTACTGTAGGAATATAGTAGTAATTCCTGTAATCACATGTCTGCCACATGTTCTGTGTGGCTCTGGAGGGTCCTGGGTTGCTCAAGGTCATGATACTCTCTCTCCTAAATTGTATTTAACAATATTTATTTATTACTTACCTATGCATTCACTTCTTTATGTTTTTAAATTTTATTTATTTGAGAGAGAGAGAGACAGGGCACGTGTGCGTGTGAGTGGGGGAAGGGGCAGATGGAGAGAAAGAATCCTCTAATAGACTCCCACTGGGTTCAGAGCCCAGCGCTGGGCTCGATCTCATGGCCCAGAGATCATGACCTGAGCCAAAACCAAGACTTGGACACTTAACTGACTGAGCCTCCCAGGCATCCCACTTCTTGACGTGTTTTTTTTTTTTAAGATTTTATTTATTTATTCATGAGAGACAGAGGGAGAGAGAGAGAGAGGCAGAGACACAGGCAGAGGGAGAAGCAGGCTCCATGCAGGGAGCCCGACATGGGACTCCATCCCAGGTTTCCAGGATCATGCCCTGGGCTGAAGTCAGGCACTGAACCGCTGAGCCACCCAGGGATCCCGACATGTTTTATTTAATGTTTTTCATTTGGCTTTTTAGTGTATTTGGAGTTCATCTGTCTGTACAGAACATGGCATGAGTTAATAAAGTCAGCCTCCAGACTGACTATTATTTATGTCAGTACCACCGATCTAATAATGATTTATCCACATCTTCCTGCGGTGATGCGCCAACTTCTCGGTATATTAAATTCTATTTTCTGTGTGGACCTTTACCTGACCTCAATCCTGTTACACTCCCTATGTCAATTCCACATATCTTGTGTGTATTTTTCCTTAAGAACTTTAAAATCATGTTGTGAAGTTCCTCCACCCCTCAAAAACCAGATTATAATGGAAA